GGGGACAGAGAGGGGACAGAGAGGGGACAGCGAGGGGACAGAAAGAGGGGACACGGGTCAGGTTGAGGATTCAGGGAGTTTGGGGACACAGGAGGGTTGGGGACAACCCAGAGTCACCACTGTGCCACCTCCCTTGGTGACAATCCCGGTGTCCCCCTCTGCCTCCCAAAACCCTCTGCTGTGACAACGGGACAGTGACAACACCCAGGACATGGGGACACCGGGACACGGTGACACAGTGACACACGGGGACAGAGTGACACAAACACACAGTGACATGGTGACACACGGGGACATAGTGACACGGTGACAAGGTGACAAGGTGACAAACAGTGACACAGGGACACGGTGACAAGGTGACACACAGTGACACGGACACGGTGACACACGGTGACATGGTGACAGTGACCCGGTGACACATGGGGACACATTGACATGGTGACACACAGTGACACGGTGACAGTGACACAGGGACACAGTGACACGGTGACAGTGACAGGGTGACACATGGAGACAGAATGACACAGACACACAGTGACATGGTGACACACGGGGACATAGTGACACGGTGACATGGTGACAAGGTGACAAACAGTGACACAGGGACACGGTGACACACAGTGACACGGTGACAGTGACACGGTGACACAGTGACACCAGGCCAGCCCTCACCGTCCAGCTCGGGGCTGTAGAGGGACGCGGGGTCAGCGGCCAGCAGGGGCAGGGACACGGCCACGAAGACGAGCAGCAGACAGGACACCTTGTAATCCTCCTCGGGGGACGAGCCCTCTGCACAGCCAGGGGACAGCTGGGTGACAGGGACACCCAGGTGACAGCGCCACCCCCCGTGTGTCCCCAGAGCCACCCCGGACCTGTCCTGTTGCCGGCCAGGGCGGTGACCAGCGCCGGGTCCACCTCGCACGGGATCCCCGCGGCCGAGGCCAGCTCGAAGATGCTCAGGGTGACCTGGGGACAGGGGTGTCACACGGTGTCACACGGTGTCACAGTGTCAGACGGTGTCACACGGTGTCACACGGTGTCACACGGCCCCAAACACCCCCCCCCCAGTGTCCCTGTCCCCACCTGGATGTCCGTGTCCGGGGTCACCACGTCCGCCAGGCTCTCAATGGGGCCCATCAGGAAGGGGCAGTGCTGGGAGAACACCTGGAAAGGAGTGGGGTGGGGTGGGGGTGTCACCTGTCCCCAAATTCGGGCTGGGGGGGTCCTGTGGGGTCGGGGGTCGCAGTTTTTGTGGTTTTGGTTTTTTTT